AAAAATTAATAATAATAAAAGAAATATTCAAACATTTTAAAAAAATAAAACTTACCTAATTTAAGAGCTCCAGCAAGGCCACGTATAACTGTAACAGGGTTTCTTGGATTTGTACAAAATTGATGCAATGGAGGAAAAAAAGCATCACGTTTATTTTCCAACTGTAAAATTAAAATGTTTTGTTAGATCTAAGAAAAATGACTAAATATTATACTATTCATATTAATTTTTCACCAACCAAGCATTTTAACATCTGCAATGTATCTTAACCATTAATGTTGTATTGCTACATATTACAGTATTTATCATTAGTCTTTCCAGGAAATTGTTATTTGGATATAACTGCTACATAAATTTCTCCTTTAGAGAAATACATTTTAAATTTGATAATTTTTGATATGTTGTTACCAACCAATTATATCACAAGATTTACAAAATATAAATATTTTAGCAGTTCAAAAATATTTCCTGAGTTTGCTTTTCAAGTATAATTCCATTATTCTTGTATAAAAGGTCGGGAGAAGTGAAACTTACTAGAGTATTATAAAAATGCAAAATGATTTAATACGACCCACAAGAGAGAAATCTTCACTTTGCATTTATTCTCTCAAAGTTTACTTTGAAAAGTTTATTTTCATCTTAATCTCATAACTTTCCTATTCTCTAAGGTATCAGTGAATTTTAATAAAATATTAGCATTGAGAACAGCTGGGGAAAAAAGAGAGCCAAATCTCCAAAATTCTCTCATCTGTGAAATCATTCTAAGTATTTTAATATTTGTTTATTTATTTATTTTTATCTTGTGTGTTAGAGGGAATAAGAATAGATAACAGAAACTCTGGGGGAGAAAAACCACACAGAAATTATTTTAATTCAATTCATAGCAACTTTTTATATCAAATCCTTGTTTCTGAAAAGAACTGCACTCAACTTCAAATTAAAAATGTTTACTTGTATTTACTGTTACCTTTTTAGTTGTATGCACTCAATTTTATACTCTCTACTTTATTTAAAGATACAAAAAAATTCTTTTTAATTATATAACATCAAATGCATTTGGAGATCCATACAACTAGCAGGTAGAAAAATACAGGCTTAGGAAGTTGTTAAAAAATGACATAAAAATTTTTGTTTTACTATTCTCATATAATCCCAACCCATAGGTGAGAAAACAATTTAAATATTCTTCTTAAAAATTATTTCTAAGTATAACAGTGGTCAACAACCTTTTCTGTAAAAGGACAGACAATAAATATTTTTGATTTTATCAACTACATGTTCTCTTTTGCAAATAGTTAACTCTGCCAAACTAATGCAAAGCAGTCAGAGATAATGTATATATAAATCACCTTGTCTGTGGAGCAGTAAAACTATTTACAAAAATAGGTATTGGCTATATTTAGACTGAGAGATATTAGTTTTCATCTATCCTCTAAGATACCAGTATGTTTTTGCAAAATCTTCAACTAACTGAGAAAAAAATTAACCTTACCTAAACTTCTAAAAATTGATTTAATTTGCATTGGTTTAAAATGTATCTTCAAAAAACAGACAAGTTCAGACACTTGATTTCTAATTATTCAATGAGACTCACATAAATACTAGGTGTAGGTGGATTCAACTTGTCCTTTGGCAAGGGAGGGTACGGTGAAGCTGGTGGTCTTGGAGGTGGGCATTTATCCAAAAAAATGTGACTATTAGACAAGCCATTATTACCTAAATTCCTGTAAAATAATATGTAGAAGAACTATATCACCTTTTAATTTTGAAAATAGATTTTAAAAAATCTAAGTTTTAAATATAGGGCACTTATAAAAATAAAATCACTTAGGAGGATATTTGCAATCCATTCAGTAAAACAAAAAAACAGAATAATTATAACTTTCAGCATGTGTTCACTTTGATTTCTTATACTTTTCTTAAACTAAACAAGATATACTATATACCCAAAAAATATAAATTATCCAGATTTCTCAACATATTTCACTCTTAGATTTTCATTTAATGTTAAAAAATAACATGCAAAAACAAGTTTTAATATCTATAATTTCATAAGATTCTCCTCCTTTTCTATATCATAATATTAATACTAGAAAACCTATGTGACCACTTTAAAATCTAGAAACACCACTTGTTCGCTATTCTCAAAGATGATTGATTCTCTGTGCAACTCCCTGACTAATATTCAGGAAGACTCTATTAAATTTATAGATTATAATAATTTCAAAGTCAATTGTATAGTTGCTATGAATTTTCACACTGTATGTAACTTAATGTTTTTGGATTAACTCTTTTTCTCTTTAATTAAAGATATCACATTTGCTAAGTTATAAATTTTAAACATGTATGAAAATTACTCCCTAACTCAAACTTTTAAAATTTTAGTCCATAAACATTAGATACTTATAAACTCTTAAAATGTTAACTTAGAAAGCAAATACTAAAAACTGTTAATCCTTTGAAATAGTTACTTCTGGAACAATGAAACATTTAAATATGGATGGTATTACACACTTTGAAATTTGATATGGAAAAAGTGAAATTAAAACTGAAAAAGAAACAGTATGTTTCATTTTGGTTTAAAAATACCTGTGTGTGTATACATATATATACACACATTCATATATATATATATTCACAGAATGTATATATATATGAATATAATAGTGGTAATCTCTGAGAGGCTGGAATATGATATTTTTATCATTTTTATTGCCTACATTTTCTAACTTTTTATAACGCATATGTACTTACGTTATAAGAAATTTTAAATAACATCTGTATTTTTATTAAACTAGAAACTAAAAATCTCAAAAAAAATGTACAATGACATTGAAGCATAACAAAGTTTTTTATGAAACTTATTTTAAATAAATGACTGCATCACTTTTTACATAATCTGTTTCTTATAAAATCAAAATATTGTTTCAGTTTTCTGATTTAGACAGTAATCAACAATTTTCACTTTGTGATTAAATTTCCCTTACTAACCTGCATGCCTTCAGAACTTCCGTGGAACTTGAATATATAGACATAGACATTGATGGTATACTATGAGGATCAGATTTGAGGCCAATTATAGGCAAGTCTGGTTTTTTAGAGCTTTGTAAGTTCCCTAATCCTCCTCTGTTAATTGTGTGTAACCTATTTTGAGGATTGTTAAGGCTGGTAACACTGTGTGTGGTTGTCTGCTCAGTGGATTTTGAGAAAGGTGTTGTGGTGAAAATGACTGAAGAGGGTGAAGAGGTAATAAAATTATTAGTCTTTGTATGAATAGCTGGGTGAATACTACTGGCTTTGTCATAAGCTCCAGTACCCACACTGTCACTAGCTTTTCCAATCAATGAGGCAGAGTTCTGAGGGCTGTCTGATATTAGTAAATCTGGTGATGTACAATCTCCATGGTTAGGACTGCAAACAGATTCTATCCTCAGCTGCTGAACATGATTAGAAAGTCCTTTGACAACAACAGAGTCATTAGATGTGTCTCCAGCATGCCTGCTTGTTTCAGGCACCAAAGATCTATTTCCTGAAGGTTGGCTCTCTTTGGTAAAAGTAGTGCCTTGCTGTCCACATGAGGTAGCAATATGAGAGGAGAGGTGATTGATAGCAGCTCCCTGTGTTACTGAGTTGCTAGGCAGAGTTCCATGTCCAATCTGTTTCTGAATACTACTGCTAGCTGCTTGGAGATACTGGACAGATCCAGTGGAAAATGAAGGTTGTTCATCATCAGGTTCTGACAAATGTGAACTCTGACCTTTGTGAAGCCTCTAAAAAAGAAAAGAGAAATAAAGTAATTAAAAAGGTTTGTTTAAATCTGTAATTATGCAAACTCAACAATACAAAGGATTAAAATGTTAAAAGCAAAGATACCAAAAGTAAACAAATGTGTAATATAAATTTATTTCAAATCCTAAAAATTAATTTAAAAAGTTCCCATTACCAACTGATTAAAGTAGTATTTTTAGGAAAAATTATGAAACTGGGCTGATTGTAGTTTTTAAAACATGCTGCAATATTTCTTCACATAAGATTGGGATTTTTTTGGTTCAATTCTGATGTACACATTTTCATCTTTACAGAAATTTATCAGTAAATATGTACAATCATTACCAATTAAAGCTATAGACACAAATTAAATATAACAAGTCACTTACCTACAGTGTATTATAAACTTAATACAGAAAATAAATTTGTTAACCTTTAAAATTATCAGCAAACCTTATATATACATAGCAACTATCCTTAAAGCAGCAAAACTATTAAATCTATAATACTGCAAGAAATAACTCATATGAATTTCTACCCTTCCATTGTCTCTCCCTGCAACCCACAAAGGCATTCTAGTAGCGTTCCCATGAATGATTTGGAGAGAGAGCACTTTTCCCCAAATTCACATAATGAGGAGAATATACTGATATTGTTAAAGAATTTTGATGGAGCAGTTTATCAACATTAATAAAACATTTGGACACAGAAAAAATCTTTTATTGGATAAAAATATACAATGAATTATGTAAGTTTTACCTGAAATTTGTGCTTGGTGTCATAAATTGCTCTAAGAAGATTTGAATTTACTGACAAAGTAATTAATAAGCTAATTTATCAACACTGATTAAAGTCATACTAAAATACTAAAACAATATTACAGCTTGCAAACTATTTTAACAATAGAACATGAAAGCTAGTAACATCGCAGGAGTTAGAAATATACCATACACTACAATATTTTTAACTTCAAACTGCATATTAAGTGGAATCTCAGAACCATGGAGAAAATATTATGGTTGCTGCTTTCTAAATTTGTTAATTAGTTTAACAAACTGGCTAACACCTCGTTGCCGTTAATGAAATTTGTCAGTTAATAACATGTGACGTGGCAAAATTTGAATTTACAAGTTATGTATACCCTAAAGTCACTTTTAATCACCTAATTAAAATTTGACAGCATGTCTCTGACACTGAGTTTTATCAAAAAACAGCATGAACTAACAATAAATGGTCTTAATCAGATTATTTAAGTGATCTACTTTCATATTTGAAACATTAATAATGACACAAATTAAAAGTTCAAAGATACAATACAAATAAAGTATTATAAAATCCTGGTAACATAACAACTTTTTGTAAAGAAATTGCAAATACTGTAATCTAAGCAACACTCAAAATATCACTGAAAAAGGATGTGGTTTAGGCAAATAAATTCATTCATCACCACCAAAATTAACTCACAGATTAAACAATTAGAAAATAAGCAACCAGATGAAAAAGTAACATTATATAACATTCCAAGCTAAAGATAAAATATTTTGAGTTTATAATTTTTTTAAAGGAAATCAATGGGAGTGAAAGCAAAGGGATACTTCAAAACTGCCTACAACTTTCAATGTGTTTCTCAAAAGATACTCAATAGGCTGCCAGTGGACTATGAACACAATTTAACTCTAAGAATTAGCTGACTACCAACAATACTACAAACACAGAGGAAAATCCAAAGACACCAGGGTAAAAATTAAAACTAAAAAACAAACAATGGCTATCAACTTTTGCTGAGAATGTTCAACCAGCAAGTTACTAAAGTGAGAAAAAAAAGTTCATAACAAAGAACAGCTACAATGCAGATTTTATATGACCAGTACCCAATAAAAAATTGCTAAACATAAAGGAACAGACCCTCAAAAATTATATTTGAAAAAAAAAATCAAGGAAGAACACTTCCTATATTGACAAAAACGTCATCAAATTCAAAAATTCAGTATTTAAGGAAACCTAAATAGTACAAGTAATAAAATAACTATATACCCAGACATGATAATAAAACTGCTAAATGCTATAATGAGATAATCCCAAAGCAGCAAAGATGATGACACATTACATTAAAAGGAAACGTGATATAATAAACAAGAGAATTCTTATAAAAACTGGAATCTAGGTATGTGGAATGACATGTTCAAAGTACTCATAACAAATTCCAAATGAGAAGTCTAGATAAAGTAAAATTATACTTCAAAAGCAAAGGTGAACTAAAGACATTTCTAAAAAAAGCACCCAGGTAACAGAGGGGTGCAACAATAACAAAATACTAACATATAAAAAAATAAATACTAACATATAATTTAAGTGAAAGAAATGACATCAGCCTGGCTGGCATGGTTCAGGAGGTCACTGTTCGATTCCCAGTCAGGGCACATGCCTGGGTTGTGGGCTCCATGCCCAGCAGGGGGCGTGCAGGAGGCAGCTGATCAATGATTCTCATCATTGCTGTTTTTACCTCTATCTCCCTCTCTTTGAAATCAATAAAAACATATTTTTATCCTTTGGGACAGCATGGGGGGAACTAGAAAGTATTATGCCAAGTAAAATAAACCAGCCAGAGAAAGACGACTACTACATGATCTCATTTATATGTGGAATGCGATAAACAAAACAAACTGATGAACAAAATGGATCCATAGACACAGAAGTATGGAACAGACAAGGGATCTCAGAGGTAAGGTGGGGATGGGGGAGTGGGCAGGGAGAGATTAATCAAAGAACTTATATGTGGATAACCCTCGGACACAGACGTTGGTCTGGGGAAGGCTTGGGGGAGAGGTGGAAGGGACCAATGGGGGTAAAAAGGGGACATCTGTAATATTTTTAACAATAAGGATAAAAATCTTTAGCATGAAAAAAATGGATGAAAGTCAATACTTTATATTTAAAGTTACACAAGTATGTTTTGGCTAAATACAAGCAAATATGGCAGAACAGAAACCAGTCGTTATAGAAGGGAAACGAAGAGCAAAGAAACAAATGGAGATTAACCACATTAATAATTATATTAAATACAAATGGACTGAATATTCTCTCTACAAGCAAACCTTGTCAGACTGCTTAAAAACACCAAGATCCAACTATATGCTATATGCAAGAGACAATTATCTTCAAAGACATAAACTGAAAGTAAAAAATGACAAATGATATTACCTACCTTGCAAACATTACCAAAGAGAATTAGAATATTAATGTCAAAGAACACAAGGCAGAAAAAAAATTAACATGAGAGAAACAGAAAAATTACTCAATGGAAAAAGTTATTAGATCAAATATGTTTTCTTAAAAACTATAAATAAATATGTACCACATAAGAGACTCTAAAGTATATGAAGTAAAACAATTCCTATGTGAAAGAGAAATATACAATTTAACAATAATAGCTGAAAATTTAACCAACCCATTGTAAATGACTGAAACATTAGTCAAAAAATAAGCAATGATATAAAAATAATTAGCAACATTATAAACCAACTGAACATGTCACAATCCACTCAACATCAATAGAATATATATTCTTCACAGTTCACAAGAAATATTGTCTACAAAAGACCATGGACTAGGAGCAAGCACAAGTCAATAACATTACTAAAATAAAAATGCACGCTAACAAAAAAAAAAAATGTTCAAAATGGAACCGCATCAGGTGTCAAAAACAGTACGATGTGAGAAATACCTCAATTCTGGAATATAAACAACAGAACTCAAAACATCTCATGAGTCAATTTAGAAAATCATAAGAAACAAGGGCAATTGATGAAAATCAAAACATAGTACATGAAAACAATACTTAGGTTATTTATAACTTCAAAAACATTGTCAAAGAAGAAAGGTCTAAAATAAGCTACCGCATACCGAAGCTAGGAAGATACAAACAGAATATAACTACAAAGAAAGAATAATATAGATCCGAAGAAAAAGTCACTTAAATTAAAGAAGAGAAAAGCAAAGGAAAAGCTCAGGAGAAAAAATAAAAATAAAAAAACTTGTCTTTATAAAGATTAACCAAACATTAATTTTTTAAATTAAGTATATAAAAACATTAAAAAGTAAAATTTACTGTATTAAAAACAAAAGAGTTGACATGAAAATAGATCCTATAAAAACATTTCTGGCAGAAATTATACTAGCTCTACAAAAACCACTTTAGGAAATACAGGAATATGACCAACTCATTTTAGTAGGCTAGTACTACTCTAATACCAAGCCAGAAAAAGACAATAACCTACTATTTCTCTTGAACACAAAGGCAAATATCCTTGAGAAAGTATAAACAAATAAAATTATGCAACACATAAGGAGAATTATGCACCATGACCAATGAGAATCTATCCCAGAAATAAAGATAGGTTTAACATCTGAAAAATGAATGTAGTCAATTTAATGTATTCATTACACTAATAAATTAATATACCCCTATTATCAGTACAGAGACAAATAGCATCAAAATATCTGAATTGAAGCAGGAAAATAAATTTGACAAATCCAAAATCAACTCTCAGATAACAAGAAAGGGATTTATCAAACTTACAGGTAACACATTTAATGCTGAAACACAAAATGCTTTCCCAAAATAACAGGACCAATTCAAGGATATCTGCTATTAGCACTTCTACTCAACAATGTACTAGAGGTTCTAAGCTAGGCAGGTAATAAGAAATTAAAGAGATAAAACCCACAATCTTACAAGAACAATTTCAAATACATAATATTACAAAATAAATAGGTTGAATAAGGTCTCTAATTATAAATCAATTTTATTTCTATATTCTGACAAGAAATAATCTGGAAATAAAATAAGGACATACTTCTGATAACCATATAAAACATGTCTGAGAAATTAAAAAAAAACTAAGTAAACGGAAAGAGGCACTACATTTATAGTGTGGAAAAACTGGTATTATGAGTATGGCAATTTGCCCCCAAATTGATTTATATATAAAATACAACACTT